TTTGGAAATATGTAAGTGGCGGTAGATGAGATGTCCTGTAGTCTCTGGTTTTATGATCGGCCCTTTAGCAGTGTGGTCTCGTAATTAGGAATTGCAAATGTGTTTTTATTGGTCAAAGTAAAGGATAGCTTAAAATCAGAACCTGACTTTGGATATGGTCCTCGTATTAAATTGATAGTAGAAAGGTTTTCTACGGGAGAGATAATATGTGTTAACATGTGTTATTATAGGTGCTGTGGTTTATGGGTGCTGAAAGGTTTTAACCTTTTTGTGCCTTCATATTGTTGCGAGTGTAGATATGGTACGAATGTGGCTTATATAACCTTGGCTTCTTAGTTGCCGAGTTTTGTGCATGGATAGTAGTTCTGTGTTTCATGTAATCTTGTATTTGTAAAAGCTATCTTACAGAAGTGTAAAGTTGATATATCGTTATAAATAGGATTTCGGAGCTGTGAAAGACTGTAATGATTAACTGAGTGCTTGGGTTTTTCGTTGTCCGCTAGATGTCTCCGAACTCTAAGGTTTTTTGACTTCAGGCTTAGTTGATTGATGCGTACACATTGGTTTAACACTGTGTTGGCTGTGTAAGAGAAGTGTGATGCGCTATTCGCCATGGTGTGGTGTAATTTCAGTGTGAATTGTATTTTGGTTTCATGGGTTTGTTTCTCTACGATGTGCGTTTTTAGAGGTTGGATGTATTTGCCGGTGCAAGGTCCTACGGATAAATTGCTCATAAGGTATACTATTAATGGTGTTGTAGGTGGTTGTAGATGGTTTAAGGTAGTTGCAGGTGAATTCAGGTGGTTCTAGGTGGATTCAGTTGGTTCTAGATGGTTTAAGGTGGTTGTAGGTGGTTGCAGGTGGTTGTACATGGTTTCAGGTGGTTGGAGATGGTTTAAGGTGGTTGAAGATGTTTTAAGGAGGTTCTAGATGGTTTCAGGTGGTTGTAGATGGTTTAAGGTGGTTGTAGGTGGATTCAGGTGGTTGTAGATGGTTTAGGGTGGTTCCAGGTGGCTGTAGATGGTTTAGGTGGTTGCAGATGGCTGTAGATGGTTTAAGGTGGTTGTAGATGGCTTTTGGTGGTTGTAGGTGGTTTCAGGTGGTTGCAGGTGGTTTAAGGTGGTTGTAGGTGGATTCAGGTAGTTGTAGATGGTTTAAGGTGGTTGTATATGGTTTAAGGTGGTTATAGATGGTTGTAGATGGTTTCAGGTGGTTTAAGGTGGTTGTAGGTGGATTCAGGTGGTTTTAGATGGTTTTAGGTTGTGGTAGGTGGTTTCAGGTGGTTGTAGGTGAATTCAGGTAGTTGTAGATGGTTTCAGGTGATTGTAGGTGGTTTCAGGTGATTGTAGGTGGTTTCAGGTGGTTGTAGATGGTTTCAGGTGGTTTTAGATGTTTTAAGGTGGTTATAGGTGGCTGTTCATGGTTTAAGGTGGTTGTAGGTGGTTGTAGATGGTTTAAGGTAGTTGCAGGTGAATTCAGGTGGTTCTAGGTGGATTCAGTTGGTTCTAGATGGTTTAAGGTGGTTGTAGGTGGTTGCAGGTGGTTGTACATGGTTTCAGGTGGTTGTAGGTGGTTTAAGGTGGTTGTAGGTGGAATCAGGTAGTTGTAGATGGTTTAAGGTGAATGTATATGGTTTAAGGTGGTTATAGATGTTTGTAGATGGTTTCAGGAGGTTTAAGGTGGTTGTAGGTGGATTCAGGTGGTTTTAGATGGTTTAAGGTTGTGGTAGGTGGTTTCAGGTGGTTGTAGGTGAATTCAGGTAGTTGTAGATGGTTTCAGGTGGTTGTAGGTGGTTTCAGGTGATTGCAGGTTGATTCAGGTGGTTGTATATGGTTTAAGGTGGTTGTAGGTGGTTTCAGGTGGTTGCAGGTGGTTGTAGACGGTTTCAGGTGGTTGTAGATGTTTTAAGGTGGTTATAGGTAGCTGTAGATGGTTTAAGGTGGTTGTAGGTGGTTGTAGATGGTTTCAGGTGGTTTAAGGCGGTTGTAGGTAGATTCAGGTGGTTGTAGAAGGTTTAAGGTTGTGGTAGGTGGTTTCAGGTGGTTGTAGGTGGTTTCAGGTGGTTGTAGATGGTTTCAGGTGGTTGTAGGTGGTTTCAGGTGGTTGCAGGTGGTTGTAGACGGTTTCAGGTGGTTGTAGATGTTTTAAGGTGGTTATAGGTGGCTGTAGATGGTTTAAGGTGGTTGTAGGTGGTTGTAGATGGTTTCAGGTGGTTTAAGGCGGTTGTAGGTGGTTTCAGGTGGTTGTAGATGGTTTCAGATGGTTGTAGATGGCTTAAGGTGGTTGTAGGTGGTTTCAGGTGGTTGGAGATGGTTTAAGGTGGTTGAAGATGTTTTAAGGAGGTTTTAGATGGTTTCAG